TGCCTGTTCTGCTCCCCACTCTGTCTCTGGTGAAGCCTCTCACCGCCCCTGAGCCTCTGGCCTGTACCCCAGTTCTGTATGCACAAATAAATAAATAAATTAAAAAAAAAAAAACAGCAAATATCCACCACATACAAAAATTTACATGGCGATGGCAGTTCTGCCATGAAACGCAGGTCAAAAGATTCTGTAATATCTGTGATTGTTAAGATAAACTTCAATGGAAAGGACAGAAAGGGAACTGCATTGCTTTTTAATTTCTTTAACTTTCTTTAACTATCTACATTTACTCCTCTAAAATGTCAGCTCCCCAGGGAAAGACAGTCTGTCTTATCCAGTGCTTTGTATCCAGAGCCTGCCACACAGGAAGTGCTCAATAAACATCTTTTGAAGTAAATAAACAAAGGAACTGCCCACTGGAAGTAAATAGGCTTGCGAGTGTTTGACTAGGATGAACCACACTGTTGAACTGACACAGTTCAAATGCTTGGTTTTTAGCAAAAGAAGTACACTTTACCAATGAAATCTTACCTGGAATATGTGAAATAGAATCAGAACTGCTGTGATGGAAGAAGGGGCAAGAAAGTCACATCTTATCCTCCCCACAGGCCCTCAACTCCTCAGTGGAACCCAGGCTCTACAGAGGGGCTTGGAAACCCCTGACAAGAGGCAGAGGAATGGAAGACATTTGAAAAGTAGACCAAAAATCCTGCCTGAGAACTTCTGGTTGACTTGACTGAGTTGACTTGACTGAAAATTTTGGGAAAGGAATCATGCAACTAAGCTGTATTCTAGAGATCATAATCTGGCAGCTTTTGCACATATCAGTTGAAGGAGATTTTTATTTAGTTGAAGGAAGTCACTGGGATCAGGGAAGCCGGCTGACTCTGTTCTCAAATGAGTGTGGAGAAATAAATATCCAAAATGTATGTGGATTTACATATTTTTAATTGAATTCTTATCTATAAACACACATACAATTAAAAAAAAACCCTCATTCTATGAAAGGTCAATGATGTCACAGTTGAAGCTGACTATGGTTAGAGTATTTACACAACAGAAAGAGGTGGACACTGTAAGTGAAGGCTGATCTCCTAACCAGGGAAATTACTCTCCAAAAGGGGGGTTCTCTGCCCAGAGCACTGTGAAAACAGGTCTGGGGGGGGAGCACTGTGAAAACAGGTGGGGGGGGGTCCTTCTGGCCAAGTGAAGTTTCTAGAACAGCCCTGCCCTCAAGCTCAAATTGTCCTGGGGAAGATGACACCTAACCTATTACTGCTTGTCGTCTGGTAGTGGGAGCCCAGTATGGGTGCCAGAATTTGGGGGCATGGCATCCCGGGCAGATGGCAGGACCAGGTGCAG